CTGACAATAAAGAATAAAGATCACGAAGAAAATACTTTTTGAGGCGTGTAGATCACTGTCCTTAAAACTTATCTGCGATGTATTGCGCAAGTCTTCCAGGATACAACAGGAACTTCTCAGAATTTTTGAGGATCTCAGAATTTAGAAGAAAAGAAGACAAAAAGATTAGAGAATGAGAGAAAGGAAAGAAAGTGCAAATCTGCGTATTTATAGAGTGAGAAATTAACAAAGATTGACCTAAGGCCCAACGCCAATGAAAAAAATCCCGTGCCTTCCGAAAGTGGCTTTGACCATGCAGCAACAATTTAAACGTTGCACATTAAAAAACTTTAACCTTGCAACCGCATCTCACGAAACTTATGGAATATATCAATGTTAAATTATATTTTGTAATATTGTATTAATAAATAATAACAAATAGAATTGGTTAAATAATCAAAAGTTATTTTGACATAGAGAGGGGAGGTGGAGGTGTATAGAAGTTGTGTTTATTGTAAATTCCAAACATCTGTACGTTGGATCCTGCTTTCTATATTACCTCCAAATTGCAGGATTGTGGTTACATGCACTCAACAAGTGTGTGTGCGTGGTTTTACATCAAACCAAGGGGTGTGCGCATTCATTCATCTATCTTAATATTACAATTAAGTAAGACAATTTGATAATAACAAGAGGAGAGAAAGAAAAAAAAAAAGAAAAAAAGAATACAGCATTGATAAACAGAACATAAACCCTATCGCGTTATAAAACCCTTTGGTGTCAAACAGACTCAATACTTTCCACTCTCATTCTTTCACTGCAATTTCTGCCTAATTTGATGGCCACCGCCACATCCCCAACCCTTCGCTTCCCATCGCCCTCTCTTTCTCTCTCTTCGAGGCTTCCTCTCTCCTCCGCCTTCTCCATCTCGCTCCGCCCGCGCCGCGGCGCCTGTCGTCCGCTCGTGGTGCTGGTATCGGCGGGGCTCGACGCGAAACCCACGGTTCTCGTCGCTGAGAAGCTCGGCGACGCGGGGCTGAAGCTGCTCAAGGATTTCGCCAATGTTGATTGCTCATACAATCTCAGCACCGAGGAGCTCTGCACCAAGATCTCACTCTGCGATGCGCTAATCGTGCGTAGCGGGACCAAGGTCTCGCGCGAGGTCTTCGAGTCTTCCGGCGGCAGGCTCAAGGTCGTCGGAAGAGCCGGCGTCGGAATCGATAATGTGGATCTGGCCGCCGCCACCGAACACGGCTGCCTCGTTGTCAATGCGCCCACCGCCAACACCGTCGCCGCCGCCGAGCACGGGATCGCTCTTCTTGCCGCCATGGCCAGGAACGTCGCTCAGGCCGATGCTTCCGTCAAAGCCGGTGAGTTTTCTCTTCATAGCGTTTCGTCGAGTTGGAAATCGTTTAGATTTGAATTCTGCGATTCAACTATGCTTTATATGAAATGTTGTTTTTTAAATATTACGTCAGTTTTATATGAAATGTTGTTTGAATTCTGCCATTAAGCATTGCGTCATTTTAAAATGATTTTTTATTTCAGAAATGTTTTAGCGTTCTTTTGTTTTCTTTCAAGCGTTTTGCTCGTAGAGAATACATGGAACCATTAGATTTGAATCTTGTTATTGAACTACACAGTTGATTTGAAATGTTCTGTGCTGACTTTGAATTTTACGTGATCTTTTTAGGTTAATGCTTTTGCCTCCTCTTGGTAATCTCGTAGAGAATATACCGAACCAAATTTTATATTGAATGCTTTTCGTCTTATAAAAGATGAAATATCTTTTCCTGATGAATAAATTTGTCCGTGACTGATTAATATTTAAAGCGATGAAGTACTAGTTAATTCTTAGAATACCTTGTTTCTTGTAATGTTTTATTATTATTATTATTACTCTTCGTGTTGTGGATTCTGTTATTAGCTGCTCTTTAACATGTTTCCCTGTGCAATCTAGGGAAATGGCAGAGGAATAAGTATGTTGGAGTTTCCTTGGTTGGGAAGACACTTGCTGTGCTGGGATTTGGGAAAGTTGGCTCTGAAGTTGCTCGCCGAGCCAAGGGCCTTGGTATGAATGTCATTGCCCATGACCCGTATGCTCCTGCAGACCGTGCTAGGGCCATTGGTGTGGAGCTAGTGGGCTTTGATGAGGCCATTTCCTCTGCGGATTTCATCTCTCTACATATGCCTCTCACAGCTGCTACATCAAAGATTCTCAATGATGAGACTTTTGCAAAGATGAAGAAAGGAGTTCGGATAGTCAATGTTGCTCGTGGAGGGGTCATTGACGAGGATGCTCTTGTTAGGGCACTAGATTCTGGGATTGTAGCTCAGGTTCGTACAACTTCCATTTTGAACTACTAATAGATCACTTTAATGAAATAGAGAAGTATATAATTGGAACCCTGCATACTAAAGAGATAATGGTTGTGCTATTTCTTTATTTCAGGCGGCACTTGATGTTTTCACCGAGGAGCCTCCAGCCAAAGACAGCAAGTTGATTCTGCATGAGCTCGTTACTGCAACACCCCATCTTGGTGCCAGTACTGCCGAAGCTCAGGTGAGTTACTTTTGGATATGACAAACATTGCTTTTAAATCCATTGTCACTATTGTTGTTATTAAAGCTCTTGAAAATGATTACCAGGAAGGTGTGGCTATTGAAATAGCAGAAGCTGTTGTCGGGGCTCTGAAAGGGGAGCTCGCAGCTACTGCAGTCAATGCACCAATGGTTCCCTCTGAGGTATCAGGAAAAATATTAATACTCTTCCTGTTTTTTTTTTTCTGTATGCATTATTTCATGTTATTTCCATTGCTACTCTCGCCGGTCTTGAGAAAGTCATTGTAACTTCATTTATTGAAGTGTGTACTACTAGTTTGAGATATCGATTTTGGAAGATGGTACCCATTTTCTTCAATTATTGATAACTTTTTAGCTGTTATCTACTCAAATGGTCTAAACTAAATTCACATTCACGCAAGTTTGATTTGATAAATCTGACTAGAGTAATTGGAAAATGGGAATACAGAGAATTACACCATTAGTGTTATTGCCAAATTTGAAATTCTGGATTTTGTTTGGTGCTCAACTTTAGGGAGCACATCATAAAACAATGAGTCATGAATTAATCTCCCTTTATGCAGGGAATGACAGTTGGACATCTATTTGTTTCTTTCTTGTCTAAAGAGAATGACAGTTGGACATCTATTTGTTTCTTTCTTGTCTGCAGGTGTTATCAGAATTGAAACCGTTCGTTGATCTTGCTGAGAAACTGGGTAGATTGGCTGTACAGCTGGTAGCAGGAGGGAGTGGTGTAAAAACAGTGAAGGTCACTTATGCAACCGCTAGGGCTCCTGATGACCTGGACACTCGTCTTCTTCGTGCCATGATAACCAAGGGTCTGATTGAGCCTATATCTAGTGTTTTTGTGAACTTGGTTAATGCTGATTTCACTGCTAAGCAAAGAGGTCTCAGGATAACTGAGGAGAGAGTTATTCTTGATGGCTCACCTGAGAATCCACTGGAATTCATTCAGGTCCAGATTGCTAATGTGGAATCACGATTTGCAAGTGCCATATCAGATTCTGGGGAGATTAAGGTCGAGGGTCGGGTGAAAGATGGAATTCCCCATCTGACAAAGGTTGGGTCTTTTGATGTAGACGTGAGTTTGGAGGGTAGCATTATACTGTGTAGGCAGGTGGATCAACCAGGCATGATCGGAAAGGTTGGGAGCGTTTTGGGTGAGGAGAACGTGAACGTCAGCTTCATGAGTGTAGGAAGGATTGCTCCACGGAAGCAAGCTGTAATGGCAATTGGAGTGGACGAACCACCTAGCAAGGAATCTTTGAAGAAGATTGGAGATATCCCTGCTGTTGAAGAGTTGGTTTTCCTCAAGTTGTAAGATTAAATGGTTGCCCCTATTTTTTTTTCCTTTTTATTTTGTAATTTGGATTGGGCATAGTTGCTGAATGTGCCCGGTTTTGATGTATAACCATCAAACTAATAGCCTAGATTTTAAGGGGAGAGAAAGAATAACTTGCTGTGCATTTCATGGTCTGGTTTAATGAGTTATTACTGGTTCGTTTCCAGCCCAGTTGTGAAAATTTCAAGTGCAAACATGTTTGTTTTTTCAGTGATTAAACTCAAGTTGATAGATACAATGCAGCAAATTCAGCTAGAAGTATTTGGTTGTTAGATTTGCGTTGGAATATTAAAAATTAGTCCAACGGTTCGATACCCCTCCCAGACTTCCAGTCAACTTGATCTTTACACCGGTTCTTGTTGGATTTGCCCATTTCATTGATTCAACGTGAACAAAGTTCCAATATGTGTATTTTTAATGCTTAAACAATTGCACTGTATTAAGATATCGATTTAACATCAATTTGAAACATTTATTCATTTATCATTAGTTGCAGCATACTTATCGCGTTTATGGTTGAATCATGGGTTTGGGCACATATCACATGCTAACCACCAAAACCCATTTGTAATCATGCCCACTCCGTTATAAGTCAATATACACCATGTTTTCTACGAATTTGCACGAGTTGATGATACGTGAGAAATATGTTTCCTTTCCTTAGAAGGGAAAAAATATTGAAATAGGAAGAGTGCATAGACTCGAACAATAATGGTTGATCTGTTTTTTATGTATGATATAACTTAAGAGATACGAAAGTTATCCTTTGTTTTAAACTTTATTGGTCTAGTTTCCTAATCTTCTAAAAACTTCATATCTTTACATTGATATATATGGCTTGAAATTTTCCACAGATGCAGAAGTAAAGAAAATGTAAGCAAATAACATATATATAGTGCTAAATTGGAGATTTTGTAAATAAGGAGAACTCCAGGTATTTGGGAAAGAAAAGATGTATTGAATACATTGTATTCTCGGCATCACATGTGTTTATGAGAAAGGTAAAGCACAGAAGTTGAATTTTTTTATGGGATGGTAGCAACGATAACTCCAATTCCACTTCTTTCACTTACTTTTGTCTTCTCGTTAACTTAGGTTGTTGCTTCCCATTTATTCACTAAACCAAAGGTAGTTTTATTCACTCATTACTCTAAAATCTTTACCTAAGTTTTTTGTTTTTTGCACACTAAAATCTTAACCTTTTAACTAGTTATTTTTCTGGTTGAGTTGTACTCATTATTTTACAAACTATCCTGCTCTTGGTACCATGAAAAACGAATCTTCATGTTCAAATTCTTGATTTATGAAGCACTAAATAGGCAGCAACACCAGCAGCATAACCTGCTAAGGCAAAGCCACTAACCTGCAGCAAAGACATAAACACCTATCTCATGAACTAAGTATTAACATTTTACCATATCAATATGTGTAGGTGTTAGTAGGAAATACCTTCCGCAAGTACCAACAGAAGTTCACCTTTTCCATCCCCATGAACGCAACTCCAGCAGCTGAACCGGCAATTAATATGGATCCACCAGTACTAGCACATAATGCAATCAATTGCCAGAATTCAGAATCTTGAGGGAAAGAAGAGACATCATACATTCCCATTGTTGCAGCAACCAATGGAACATTGTCTATTACAGCAGATATGAGTCCAATAGCACTTGCAATCAGTTCACTACTAGGCACATGTGCATCAAAGTAATTTGCTATTTCCTGCAGAATCCCTGCTGCCTCCAGGCTAATTGATCAAAAACAACCACTTAACATGTTTGACTAGGGAATTTAAACATATGAAATCACACTTCATGCAAAAAAACAAGCATATGCATCTAATAATTCAAGAAAAGGTAAAAAGAACCAGACAATATATCATCCTCACTGATATGTTTCATTGCATTATGGATATAAATGCATGAACATACGGCAGCAGAAAAACTGAAATTTATTTTTTCACCACCTGCTAACGGATAATAGAATTCCGAGGAAAAACAGTGCTCCCTGAGTGTCTATTCTTGACAGAGCATGTGGCACTTTTAGCTTTTGCCTCTCAGAATCACCATAATGGATAACATCGGTGACGATCCAAAGCATGCCAAGTCCGAGAAGAATTCCCATGTAGGGAGGTAAACCTGTGAAGGCCCTGAACACTGGGACAAAAAGCAAAGCTCCTAAACTCAATGAGAAAACAAGCAGTCCTTGTGGAGCACTCTCCTCAGAGGAAAATACACCGAGAGAGTTTTGTCCTTTTCCATCATTAACTATACTGGTGAAGACAAAGTTAAGAACCAACGTTATCCATATTCTATATGTTAAGCTAAATATCAGTATTTCAGCTTTTGAGGCTAACTTTTGCAGTGTATGAAGAAGAGTGTCTACCTTGTCAGGGACATCAGAACTAGAGGAACAGCCAGAGAAATGACTGAAGGTATAAACAAATCCTGCAAAACAAAGAAAACCCAATAAACTTCATTTTTTGTACTACAGATATTTCATACAGACTGTTCATATGATCTGAACAGATGTATCACGCTGGAAGTATTTTTTTCCCAGCAGATAACCTTCATTGTTTGTACAACAGATATTTGACCGTGTATCCACAGCATAGTAGTGGTAACAGCACCAATAGGACTCCATGCACCACCAGCATTTGCTGCTATTACAACAACAGCTCCCAATATCCTGTCAAAAGAATCCAAACCAAGTTCTTCATATATGATGAAGTGCACCAATTGAACCTCCAAATAGTCTGAAAATGCTGGAAAAAGAAAACTTAAAAGATTTACGGACACATCTGAATGTCTATGCTGTCAACAAACAGCAATAAAGGCCTTAAATGAAAAAGGTTAATGTCATCTGAAGTCACCTATCACTTATAGGTAGGAAATGATCAAAATTAATTTCTGGAGGAAAACTTATCAAGATCTCGAATCAAAGGCATTCAGATTTTGTAAGTTAAAAAGTTAGCAAGAGTACATCTAAAATTTCCCACTGTAAAGAACACAGGTAGCAAGCTTTAGAGCACTAATGATCAAAACCTTAGATGATGCATGAAATATGGTCATATTTAGTACTTCACACTCAAAGTTAATAACAAATACATACTTCCGTAACTCTGATAGACGTAACAATTTTCGCAATAGAGAAATCATAACTACGGTAGATGCCAAGCTGTCCAGAACTGAACTTAGAAAGAACGTAACAAATCCAATCTGCAAATTAATCATTCAAATTTGACCATAAACTGTAATGTTGAACAAACATGTAGATACTTCAGAAAGAATCACCTTGTAAGATTTTTTTGGCCAACAATGCAGTGACAACAGAAAATCACTTACCACCCATAGGAGAAGGCGTGGATTTTGGGTTGTTATATTGTCCGTAACAAGCTTAAATCCTCGATGAGCGTCAATTATCTCAACAATGGTCATTGCAGCAAGCAAGAAAAATACTATTTCACTGACTTGTGCAGATGCATGTGTTAACTCTGAAACTTCTATATCAGTTGATGGAGCCTACAGACAAATTCAGTAGTGAACGATTATCATTTGTTAAGTAATTGTATTGGGATGCTGATACCAGGAATACAGTAACTATAGGGATCAGGAGGAACCTCTTCGCCATAATATCAATGATAGAAAAATATACCACTTGTTGAAAAAACTTTAACCCACAAATCAAAAAACAAAATTTAACCGCAATTGCTTTGGAACATAGAAGTTGTCCTTGTTCTAATCCTTGTCAGTGTCTTCTTATCTTTTTCAGAGAAGATTAAAGAAACAAACCCAAGAATATATATTCCCTGATTGAAAAAAAGCAAGAAAAAAGATAAAAGAAATTTGTGAAATCCAAACTTATTTCTTTTTCTCCATTTTTCTACAAAATCTAAATCAATGAAACACAACTCAAATTTTCTCTGTTTTATTTCTCACCTTCTTTCAAGGGAAACATCCAACAAATATATTTGATTTTTACTCATTTTATCTTTTTTTCTATTCTATTTCTTTCCTTTCTACTCTCTCTGTGTTGAAACAGAGCATAAAAACTAAAAAGGTTTGTCCATAAACACATGAAGTTCTGACAAGTCCTTAATCAAGAAAGAATCAACGCAAAATTTAGACAATTACCCCAATACTGCGTATCACCCATAAGCTTACTGCCATCAACAGTCCCACTCCACTTTTATTGAAGGCTAGATATTCTTCAAATATGATGGCTACATAGCCTATTACAAATACCAATGCCATAGCAAGATCCTGCAGGGCAATATCAAAAACAACTATGGAAATAGAGCGTTTTTAGACACAATTTCTCAAAGGCATGTACTATATTGTGAAACATGCAGTAGTGAAATTAGGAGCCCCCGAAGAATGGTTAACTGTCACTGCCCTCGTTGTAGCAGCAGCAAATATTGTTATACCCTTGAGAAAATCGATATTGGCCCGGTAGCTGTATTTAAAATCTTGTGATCTTTGTTTCATCAAAGTGAAAATATGAGATCACAAGTTCCACACTCTGGTGGTATCTTATACCATTTTCAAAGTGCAGTGCAGTGTGAGCATTAGGCGTATAAAAAGCAGATTCAGCAACTTTGTAACATTAATAAAGTGCTCCATTTCCATTATTCTTGCATTAACGGTCTGAATCACCAATAAAGTAAGCCTTTGACTTTGCAGCCCATTCAATTAGCATTTGTTTAAAATAAAACGTTTAATCCATTAAACATTACAGTGGTGAAGTAGAGTTGACTCCTTGATAAAAATCTTCCCATGACTAATTCCTATTTAAAAAAAACTGGGAATTTAAGTATTCAATCAATCTTCTGCAAAAATTGGATCTTTCGTGAAAAGTGAGGTACCCTTAACCCAGATTACACGAACGCCAACATCTAATATCGAAATTGATGTACAAGCAGAGCAGGGCGAATAAAAAGATTTTCTAAGAACTTGGTTAATGGGTGATAGGGATAAAGCACCTGAAACCCTTCCCATGCACTTGGTTGAGACTGAAACGAAGAAACTGTAGAAACTCTGGCACCTCTTAATTTGGTTCTGCAAGAAGAGGAGGCAAAGAAGGTTGAGGTTTAACTTGTATTTTTTTACGTCCATGATATATTATAATTCATTTTTATGGTTAATGATATATTATAATTTTATTTTTAATGTTAATAGTAGTAGTAAGAAGAATTCTCAAGTTATTGTTGGCAAAGGTTAAACAAAAATTGTCATATTATTGCCGTCTCTTTTGTAAAGAGAAAAAATTTTGTAAACCTTTTAATGTATGAAACTTCACGTACTAACAAAAGTGTTAGTTAACTAATGCAAGTGTAATAACCAAAAAACATGTTCTTAAGAGAAGTACAAGTAAAGAAGAAAAACTAAAGTATGAAACCTTCTGTGGTTGAGTTTCTGAACGTCCTTGGATGCTGCAACAAAGTTTTCTGGTATCTCCAGTTGAGTGAAGGCAACAGCAAAAGACATTTTACCCTTTGAAGGATGGAAAATATATAATAAATATGTTTATGGTGTAGTAACCAGCAGAAGCAGGTGATAATGTTGGCTTGAACAATCATAAATACCTGTGAATGCTGGAGTACAAATAGCTTTGTGTTTCTTACTGAATTAATGTAATTGGTCATTTCTGCAAAATCATGCATGGCTAAATCCTGCCAATGTTACAAAGGCACCACAGGCCACGCGATTCACATTACAGGCATGGTGAAAAAACTATAATCTTAACTTTTCCACGAATGCTAGAAAGACACTGATAAAATCAAAATTTTCAGTTAAGTTGCAGATTAACTAAATTTTAATAAAACAATTATAGAAATAGATAAAAGGTTAAATCATTTACTAGATAGATCACGTTTCAAAATACGACTATACATATATAAAAAATAGTGCTTTAATATACGTGTGGTTTAAAATACTTTGATGTGAGTTTTAGTCTAAATCATGTTTACATAATTAGTTTATTAAGGAGGTTTGTGTTTGCTTTATACTAAATATTGATTATTATAAAAATACACGGGTAATTTACACGCGTTTCTTTTGTTTTATTTGTAAAATCTAATTTCCACTTTTTTGCTTTTTTTTTTAATTTTCTTAATTTTTGGGTAACTTTAAGTTATTATAATATTTTCAATAAAATGAAAAAATATTAAAAAATTATTAAATACTAGATAATTTTAGATACCACAATCATTAGTTATTGACTAAATTATATATCATTTTATAAATTAAAAATAATATCTTAAATAATCTTTAAGAATAAAAAATTATAATTGATTTGTGAATTAGAATGAATGTAAAGTGATATTTAACATTAACTATCTATTTTTAGTTACTTATTAAATTATAAATTGGTTTTTAATTTTAAATTAGAAATCAATTCAGATAATATAATTTTTTGACAAGTAAAAAGTTGCAGGTAGCTAATATTAGATTAATTTAGAATTTAATTCACAAAATAATTATAATTTTTATTTATAATAATAATTATTTTATATACTAATAATATTTAAATTAGTCAAGATTAATTTTGTTTGTCTCTACTATTTATTCAATTATTTTCTTGTAATAGAAGTAAGTGTCTATTTTTCTAAAATTATAAAAAAAGTAAATGTTATAAAATAGTAATTAAAAGAAAATATTTATAAATAAAATTGACCACTATTCTAATATTTAAAATAAATTTGTGTAAAAAATATTTAATTTTTTATGATATAATTAATAAATAAACAAAAATTAAAACAGAATATATCCAGTCAAAAACAGTGGATTAGAGTTACAACAACACTTAGAAAACTTGGTAGAATGAAACGAAGGAGGCATTTGGATGTCCAGCAGAAAAAGAAAACGCAGTAGAAACTTAAACAGACACTGAAATCCCATCTCTCAGCCAAAGGCAATCGAGTTAACATGCTGCACTGTTTAACGTATATCATTATGATTAGGAAGAGTAAATTAAATAAGGTGGTAACCATGAATAAGCCACGCAGAAGCAGAAGCAGCAGAAGGGGAGCTTCACCATCCTTCACAACCCCAACAGAAGAAGAAAACACGCGCTCCTTCGTTTCAACCTGAGAGTAACAAGACAAAGAAAAACCTTTTTTTTATTCCATTTTCAGACAACTCTAGATCTATAGTGAAGATATATAATATTTTAATCTGAAAAGGAGAGATTTGTTGTGATGTTTGAGTAGTGAAAGAGCAGTGTTCTTACAGTATATTGGGAGCAGACGTAATCGGGTGGAAGAATGAGCAAGTCACGGAAACTGTGTTGCTGTTTTTGGTGCTGAAAGCTCTGAACAGTGTTATTGTTTGTGTTGAGCAACAGTAGCATTATGCAGACACTAATTTCCATCCCTCAACCTTATTCTCAACCTGCAACTCAACCCAACACTTATATACGCCTCTCAACACGTATCAGTAACATTATTTTCTGCAATTATTTTTATAATGACAGCAACACCTTATCTTAAAATACTGAAAGAAGCACGTGTGATTTATTTTCATTGCAATCCTTATCTTTGTCGTTGCACTTACACATGGTTTGGAAAACATACTCAAAGAAAAGGAAGAATGTTTGAACATTTTAACTATTGTCACAGTTTACCAGAACTTGTATTTGAAGTAAACCAGTAACCGGACTAAAAATTAAATATTACATTTCAAAATACACAAAGGTACGTACTGTGATTAAGATATAAACCACCCAAATTAAAATGTATATCAATATGTTGCTCACCTTTTTTTTTCTGTATACGTATGATTTTCTAAGCATATCTAACATTAAATTGCAAATTACACTTCATATAAATAGGGTTTGGTTTTTTAATTGCTAATGTAAAGCAAGATTATAATATTAAATAAATAATGATAACAATGTTATATATCTTGAGCATTACTTCTATGTAATTATCTACAGTTAATAATTTTTTAATTTGGATAACAATATAAAAATAATTTAGGTTATCAATGTATTTTAATTAAACTCTTGTATATAAATACACATAAGTTGAAAATACATTTAAAATTATGAAAGAGAGATTATCTACTGATAATTATAAGAGAATGAAATATAAAAATATAAATGTTTAATTAAATATAAATTTTAATCAACAGAATGATGATTAACTAATATTGTTTAAATAAACTCGAATATTAATTAAAATATAAGAAAATAAAACACTTATTTAATTAAAAAAAAAGTAGTAGAGGACAAACAGATTAACTTAATATAAAATTGCATAAGACACGTATATAATATTGGGTTACGTATTTTAAAACTTGTCAATAAAAAAAAAGAAAAAAGAAGTATTTTAAACTTAAATTTATAATAAAATATTTATTTATTTTAGAACTCCAAATCTTCGTAATGAATATTGTATTGTTCTCTTGTTCCATTGAGTTGTGTGTGCTCGTAGATAACACATATTGTATTTGTGTTAGATTATTTAAATCAAGAGGCTTTAAAGTAATTTTTTATTTATTTCAGAAAACATTTTTGAATTTATTGTTTTTTCTCTATTGAGGGTGTTCTTAGATTTCGATTTAGACCTATAATTGATTGGTTGGAATTGAAATATCTGAATTTAACATGTATAGTAAAAAAGTAATATGAATGGCGTTTGGGTGAAGGTTCCCTTGTCAATTCATATAGATGTTGCGTCCTTTGAAATGAGATGAATTTGTGAAGAATGAATAATTTTCGAAGCAACTGAGTTCGGAAGTTACATACAATTCCTTTTGCTTTTGGCGACAAAACCGAGTACGAGGATGCACCCATTGGAGGGAGAAAGAAAATTTCCATTTTCCAAAAAGAATATAGATTTTTTTAGTATATATATATAAAAAAGATATTCTCATTTGATTATTTGTAAAAATTCAAAAAAGGAGAACCATTTTTTCTCTTTTTAAAATTAAATATGAGAAGAATGACAACTAATCATTAATTATTACTGTTTGAGAATAAATATAAAACATGTGTATTTCTAACAAAAAAATTACACGAGACGTGACCATAAATTGTATCCTTATTCAAATAGTTATGAATCTATTCAAATATTTTTTTCCATATATAGTTCACTAGTTTAATTATTCTTTAAAATAAATACAAATAAATAAAATACATTTCAAAACTAATCTTTTTTAATATGAAAAAAAATTAAATAAAAACTAGAAAACTTTAGGTCTTCGAAAACAATGTCATTTACTTTCTTGTATTATTTTTTTTCATTTTCCTTCATCTCATCCTTTTGTTTATAATAATTATCTGCAAATGAAATAGATGAGTATATATCAAAAGGTATATATATAGCTTTATACGATTTATATAGCACACTTTCAAAAGGTTCATATGTTATACTTTTAAAGTAAATAATAAAGAAGACGAACCTTATGCACATGAAGCTGTAGGGTTCAATTGAGTTTTATGTGCGCAACTCATTTCAAATCTTATGGATTTCTCTTACTAGCTAAATCAAATGTCTAAAAATTCATAAAATTAATCTTAAAGGAATATAGGTCAAATATATACGCATGTATTACTATTAAAAATTATCTCATGTTTGCTGTAATAAAAAGAGTTTTACTTAATAAAGTTGTTCTACTGAAAATTAAACTATTAATTTAAACTTTAATATTCATAATCAAATTATTAGATCCTTCAACAATTAAAATAATAATACTTTTTTTTTGTGATAGTCAAATACCAATGGGCCTAGATTAGGCCCATTACTGATAGATATAATCAGTTATACTTCGATAAACTGTGGAATAAAGTAAATGACTTTATTAAGGGTACAATAAAGGAAGATATAAAAAACAAATCAAATATTTTAGTGAAGAAATCTCCCTTCTCTTTGGCTAGAACGCTTTTATTTATATTTTTAAAACTATTTTTAATCGAGTTATTTTACAAAATTACAAATATTAGTAATTATCACTTAATTAATGATTATTTTATAAATAAATATAATCAGTAATTATTTTATAATTAAATAGTCAATTTATGATGAAACAAAATACTTAATCATGTTATTGACAGGTATTCAAACTTTTTTTTAGCATTTCTTAATATTATAATTTTAATTGTACAATTTATTCTGTAATTTTTATTCTCAAAGAATTGTTGATCCTGATAATATTTGACCCAATTAATTCATCCTTAACTTAACTAAGCATGATATCAATTTTGATTTTCCAAAATAATAGACTATTTAATATATTTACAAAAGCAAAGAAAATAAATCATCACTACGGACTAAATGTGTAAAGTAAACTTTTACATAAATGAAAATCATAAGAAAAAATTATAAGGTCTGATTAAAAACCTAAAAGCCTGTAAGGAAAAATCTAATTATAGATCGGTATTGGGCCTGTTGATCTTATAAACATTGACCTATCATCACAATTTGTATTTTCTATAAAACTTGCATCTCATCTAAAATTAGTAGAGACGGGGAATGAATATCGCATTAGACGAAGATTAACGAGAGAAGAAAGCAAAAACTAAATAGAGATAAGTCATAGTTTAACAAATTAACAAGTCAATTAAGATTTGTTACAAAAATTGATATTTTTTTTGATAAAAACTAGAATTTGAAAATGTCACGTATTGATAAGTAAAAAAAATTCATCATAAAATATTCAAGATAAAAGTATAGTTCTAATCCAATAACAAAGATAATTTTCTTTCAATAAAAAATAATTTTTATATTGTTTCGACAGAATTTAAAATTCTAATATAAAACATTCAAAGTTGTCTGTTCCGATGGTGTTGTCTTCTCTTTTGGAGAGGGTGCCGGTGCCTGTAAAAGAATCCGACGCTCAAGTTAGTGACCTCGCATAATAATCTTGTAATCAAGATTAGTTATTAGAGTTCAAAGTTCAGTTCAAGTTATCTATCTTCCAAATATTTATAAATTATAATAAGCTTAGCGTTAAGTCTAACTCATTAATCACCCATAAATGAGATTATTAATTGTCAATAAATGACAATTATTTTCATTAACTCTCCCGCAGTTATTACTATTGATTACCTTAACGACTTTTTTTAACCATCGGTTCATTGACCTGAGAGGTATCATCGGTCGACCGATTCTTCTGCACCTCTACCGTTCGGTCGGCTATGAGCTCATAACACATATAACGATAATACAATACGTCTATAAATATATTTGCTGTCTTTATATAACAACACAATTGTTTAAGTAACTTAAAAAACCTTTAAAAAACCTCAAAAATATTAAACCCAATATAATTTAAACACTAAAAATAGACTTTAAACTTTTTGTACAACGAATAAACTGTGTAGCAACTTATTGCCTACCAAGTTTTATGGTTTAACTACAGTTACAATTATTTAAAAATTAAAAAGGAATTACAAATATTTTAATTTTTTTTTAAAACTATTTTATAATTGAACAAAACATGTTTAACACATAAAAAATTATAATTATTAGATTAAAAAAATTATATTAATTATTTTTAAAGTTTATAACAAACACATTTCACATCAAAATTTAAAAATTATAAAAATATTTAACAATTTAACTTGCTAAATCGATTAAATGACCATATATTTTGAATGTCCTACTATATTACACGGGTGAGGTTGACCACCGATCCAATAACTAATTAAAAAATTATGAACCTGTCACTACCTTTTCTTTGCATCAGTTTCGGTTTAACCAAACTAAATCTCGTTGTAGAATCCTCTACTTGCACTGGTGGTGGTATAACACTGAAAAAGAATATTTATATAAATATTTTTTCAATTTTAAATTACTCATTTATACCATATTGATATTAAAATAATAATCTTATTCATATATAATTATTATAAATAACTCTAATTGAAATTGCTGTGACAGGTTAATAACAACTTAATATTATTAGGATCTTTATATTTAAAATATTATGTATTTTAATTCTTAATAACTCTATAACGATCAAATTGTCTAAACAAATTGCAATTTTAAAAAGGACAATAACTTATAAACGTAGTAATATATTAGATCTGGAATTTGAAACATTTTATGTTGGTATTTCAAAATTCAAAATTTCAGGATTCTCCCAAGATTAACGAGGTCCACTACTTTAATACCCCACACTTATATATATATAAATTCTGTCCAGGTTCATTGCATGCCATTTTCCTTTCTGAAAAAAAAGTCTTTCAATCACTCTTACCTTTCTTTTTATTTGACTATTTGAAGTTACTGAATTATTCCAAGAAAAAATAAAGCATCGGATAATTTCTAAAAGTTAATTAATTTATAATTTATTGTATATTAAATTCTTTTAATGATAGTCAACAGTATCAATGTTGTGATAATGTTTTGAATAAGTATTCTATAAGATTCTTAAATAAAAATTACCACATAGCTTAGTTGATTAAAAAATATGACAATTAAATTTCTCAAAACAAAATCACTGTGTATATGGGTTTAGGTGGAGAATCAAAATGAAATTGGTGTGAAAAAAAAATTTCAGCTTCTAGCGTGCTTCTTCCAAATAAAGAATAGTAAGACGCACTTCAAAGATTCCATCAATTTGGGACTTGAGAGAGTACTATTGCTCCACTCCCTCCTCGCCACCATCGGCGGCTACCATGGTTTTCTCGGAGTTCCGACCGCTCGACGAGAAGACTCTCATCGAATACATAAAGTCCGTTCCTGCTCTCTCCTCCAAACTCGCCAACAGTTTCGATGACTTGTCAGTTAAAGAAGTCGGAGATGGCAATCTTAACTTCGTGTACATTCTTTCCAACTCCAAAAGTTCTCTTGTCATCAAACAGGTAACAGTCACTTTAACGATCCGAAACCCAAAGGCCTTATGCTCCAAGAAATCATGGGCAATATCCAATTTCGTTTCTTTTTCGTCTCAATGTTTCAAAGCTCAGACTTCTGTCTTTGGGGTTTTGAATTGTTTCAAAGCTCAAACTTCTCTCTTTGGGGTTTTGAATTTGTTATAGGCTCTGCCGTACGTTCGTTGCATTGGGGAATCGTGGCCTATGACAAAGGAGAGGGCTTATTTTGAGACGCTGGCACTGAAAGAAGAGGGTCGTTTGAGCCCTGAGCATGTCCCTGAAGTATATCACTTTGATCGGACCATGTCTTTGATCGCCATGCGTTACTTGGAGCCCCCGCATATAATCCTCAGAAAAGGGTTGATTGCAGGAATTGAATACCCTCTTTTAGCTGAGCATATGGCTGATTTCATGGCAAGGACACTCTTCTTCACGTCTCTGCTTTTCCGCTCTACTACTGAGCACAAACGAGACGGTATAACCTTACCCTTGTCACTTTATTGAGAAGCTAGACTGGGGAACTTCTAAAAATGTTAGGGTTTATAAATTGATTTAACTTACAAATGTCTGGAAGTATAAATTGATTTTAACTTATGCTAGAACACTGACTCATTTTGCCTCTCTTAATTCATTTTAGGTAATCTATTCCATGATCTCGATAACTGTTTCCATTTTAAGGTTCAGTCCCTGTTTGAGAAAAGTACTATTTTTATTTATACGGCTTTTTGTGACAGCTTATATCTGTCAGATTTTTTTATTATGGTTTTACCCACCAAAATGACCAAAAGCTAACTTTTATACTCGTGTAGGGATCTACTCTATTCTGTTTCCTAATTTATGAACTAAAATTTTAAATAAAGACGGCATGGACCAAGTAAATAGTTCAACATTCATTTTATTTTCTTGTACAATCAGTGTATCATTGTGAAATTTATCTATATTTGCTCCGAACGATATCCTCTTTTTGTGACTATAAGGGAGGTCTTACACATAATTTATCTATGGGTGTTACCCTTAATTTGAATGCATATTTGCTTCGTGCAGTTGCCGAATTTTGTGGCAATGTGGAGCTATGCAGGCTGACTGAGCAGGTCGTTTTCTCTGATCCTTATAAAATTTCCGAATATAATCGTTGGACTACGCCCTATCTTGACCGTGATGCTGAGGCTGTCCGGGAAGACAACCTGCTGAAGCTTGAAGTTGCTGAGCTGAAATCTATGTATTGTGACACACTTTTTGTACCCATTATATATAATAGTTTTGTTGTTACATTTTTGTTTGAAGAATAAGAATTTATGTTCCTATAGGTTCATCGAGAGGGCTCAGGCACTATTACATGGTGATCTACACACTGGTTCTGTTATGGTTACTGGTGAATCAACTCAAGTTATTGATCCAGAATTTGCATTTTATGGACCGATGGGTTTTGATGTTGGAGCATTCTTGGGAAACTTGATTTTGGCCTTCTTTTCTCAAGACGGATATGCTGATGAAACAAATGATCGAAAGGTGGGAACTCTTTTTCCATGTCTTCCGTGATCCTTACTTATCCTCTTCTTTGTATGCTATAGTTGTTACTTATTCACATATTTATCACATATTTATTGTTATTGTCCACAATCGAAGTAAAACTTAGACTCTTTATTTTTCAGTGTTGTACCTTTTATTTCACTCTGGTAGTTTTGTTTCATGACAGAGGCTTGTTTTCTTCAAGAGTCCTACATATTTCAAGACATATCAAAGCATTTGCACCAGCTATTTCTGATTTTTGCTGTCTCTGTGCTTATTTATAGTTCTTAATTTCGTGTATTGTTCTTTTGTTTTGTCTGAGGTGCCAATGACTCTTGCCTTGCTATCCTAAGAGAAGTATTCCGGTGTACTTATTGATGAGTAACCAGAAATATACCATGTGCTTTTTTTAGTCCAGCACTACTAACAAGTGAAGACTTGGTTTTGGGATAGAATTTTTTCATGTCTGTGTTCAGCACATGGTCTTGCACTTAGTACTTTTTAGGAGTTCCTTTCTCTCTTTCTGTTCTTTCTCCTGTTTGGACTTTGTTGAAGATTTCTTATCCTCGGACCTTGTACTTCTATTGGTGTGTTTGGATTTTCATTCAAGAGCACGAAATGGACATTCAAATTCATGATACCATACCCATGGATTGACTTGAACATGCTTGGAATTTGTGCTAATTAAAAACAAAGTGGAACATTTGGTTAGAACTGCATCTGTTGTTAGCTGAAGTACCATTTTGTTTAACCGTTGTATCTTCACCTCATTTAGGTGGCCTTTTCTAGTCACAGGAGTTACTGCATCATCACGATGCAGGGTTCTTCAAATAATGAGCTTTGGCATTTAAACTGTAATCCTAAATAATTGCTGAAGACCATTGATTGTAGTGGAAAATGAGTGTTATTCCTGATGTAAAATTCTATGTTGTGCAGGCCTATAAGGAGTGGATTCTGAAGACAATCGAAGACACATGGAACCTTTTCCATCACAAATTCACTTCACTTTGGGATGAGCACAGTAATGGTGCTGGTGAAGCGTATCTTCCAGCAATCTATAACAATCCTGAGGTTCAACTCCTTGTACAGAAGAAATACATGACAAATTTGTTTCACGATAGTCTTGGATTTGGTGCTGCTAAAATGATACGGTGAGACTTTTTCTCTCAAATTTATTTTCCTCTTTTCACAAAAAGATAATGTGAGATTGCAGATATATGGTATGTGTAGCTAAGTATGATTTCTTGGATTTTTTTTTGTTTATGTTAACTATGCCATTTAGCCATTCTTTTCTTTGTCATATAATTAATAACTTAAGCATTTGAAATGGTGATTGATATAGTATTGTATTTGATGGACATGTGTTACTTGATTGACAGGAGAATTGTTGGTGTGGCGCATGTTCAGGATTTTGAATCCATTGCCGATGCTGCCAAACGGGCAACTTGTGAACGCCGAGCTCTTGAGTTAGCTAAGATGCTTCTAAAAGAAAGAAGAAAATTTGAAGGCATTGCTGAAATTATTTCAACAATTCGGCAATACTAACATCAGCTTTTGCTACATCAATAATACTTTAATGGATCATGTTTCCCAACATGCCTTTTGGTTTTGTGTACCACTATATACCTGTTTCCGAATTCACCAAAAAAACATCATGTACGAAAAAATTATTTTTAAGAGAGGTTTGGTGAGAGATTTTTATATTTTATTCTCTATTTCAAGTTTATATAGCACATGATAAAACAGTAAATTAAAACAAAAATAATAGAAAAATATTTTAACTTCTTATACGAATTTTTTTTAAAATAAAGAATAAAGAAAAGAGTAGGTGTCAGTCCCCCTAACATTCAATTTTTTTTCCAGTTGATACTGTTATATGATTGAAATTTATATCCTTTTGTCATTTTCTTCTTATTTTTCAACTATAACAGTATGATATAACTGAAAATAAAAACTTTTAGTCAATAAGTTTAAATTTTTTTCACAATATTAGTGTTACTTGTATCGAATTAGAATATATTTTAACCTTTTCGTGGATCTGTGTCTTGATATGAACGAAAAAGTTTAGTAGTTCAAAGGCATTGTTATGAGAGAAATGTTTGTAATATATTTAAGTTAGGAAGAAATAATTGTTTCTTCTAATTTAATGGAATTTATATAACTTTCAGCCTATGCTGAGGTTCCAGCTATGACACTACTCAATATTAAAATGAAATAAAACCCAAACTAAATTTAGAGAATAAAGATTATAAATATTTTATTTTATAAAAAATTTATGTATCTGTATTCTTTACTAATTCAATACTATTTTTCATTTCACCCAATGAAAATAAATGTAAAATAACCACATTATTTTTAAAAAAAGAATGAAGATTACATATTAAATAAATAAATTTCAAAATATTGGCCCACCAATGCAGGGAAAATTGCATGATTAAGTTCCACGTATGCTATAAAAGAGATTCTCTATTTTATTTTTCTAAAATAATAAAATAAAATGATTTCAATTATGTATTTAGTGAATATTATTTAATATGATTTTTATTTAAATTTATTTTAATTATAATTTATGTTTTTGAAAACTATATATATATATATATATATATATGTATGGGTTTGTTAGTACACTTTTTTTTTTCAATTGGTACATTTTAGCCATGTGTACCGGGTTTTAGTAGATAAAAATATCTTCATAGATTATAAGTTTTAAAGTCAGGGTATTTGAATAATTTTCATTCTCGAAACTAAAAAAAACAAGAAACCACCAAACCCTTACTCACCTCTCTCAAATCAGAAACACTCGTCTAACACTTATCTACCTTCCTCGCTTATCCAATTTGTTTCTTTCTCATCTCCATACTCTTTCTCACCCACACAATTCCAATGAAAGTGAAATCATTCGGATAAATCAACGCAATTGGGAGGATTCGATGAGAGAACATCAATTCAAATCCTGAATTTTCGAATTGAGAGAAATCAAGAATTGTCGCTATTTCTTATATTCATGAATAGGTTGGGGCAACAATATCATAAAAAAATACTTAAAAAAAAAACTAAAATACTGGCAATTTGAAACGAAATATAGTTACAGATCCATGTATTCTTTTTGTACTATCTTTTTTGTACTAGATTCAATTAAATTGGAACAAAATCTTTAATCATTTTTCGAATTCTTCTTTTTTATCTTAATTGTTTTTATCTTTTTCTTAGATTCGAATCCGAAAAGAGTTATAAGTTAATTAAAAACAACCCTTGACACCGCAATTTGTTGCTTTCGCTCTGTTGGTTCATTTGTTTTCCACTTTAATAACAAAATAATCAAAATTGATGTGTGTGGGTGAGAGAGAGTATGGAGATGAGAGAGAAACAAATTGGATAAGTGAGGAAGGTGGATTAGGGTTAGGTGAGTGTTTCTTTTTTTTTCAGTTAGAATTACAGTAGGGATGACAGAGAAAATGTTGGAGTGGGAGAGATGAAAGAGAAATGATTGAGAGGAAAAGGGAAGGTGAGTAAGGATTTAAGAGTTTCTTGTTTTCTTTCTTATTGTGTTTTTGAGAATGAAAAATATTCAAATACCTTGACCTTTAAACTCAGAATCCATGATATATGAGATTATTTTTGTCTACTAAAATCCGATACACACAGACACACACACGCGCAGACACAAACACATACACACACACAAACACAGACACAGACAGACACACATACGCACACACACAGACACAAACACACACAAACACAGACACACACAAACACAGACACACACAAACACATACACACACAGACACATACACCCACACAGATATAGACACACATACGTTAATTATTATTGATTTGTAAGGGGGAAATTTATTCTTTTATTCCATTATAACTCAATTCATTTCACTTTCTTATTTTACTTATCTTTTTAAGGAAGTGTGTTTTTCAACGGGTTAAATATATGATAAAAGAAAATTTAATTATAAACCACTGAATGAATTAAAAAAGTTATGAATTAAGAATAAGTTCAGAGAAATTGATTATATATTATAATTTTAATTAAGAATTGTACATTATTTTTTATCAATAAAATGTAAGTTCTAAGAAGAAACGGATATGCACGGCCACGTCAAAGCATAATTACAGTGCTTTATGTGTAGATAAAAGAGAAGGTAGAGGTCGTCACGCCATTGACTTGGTTTTAAATGTATGTTTGTTTCTCATTTCCTGGTAATACGGATTGAAAATTTAGTGAAAAAAGAGTTGCAATGCAGGGAAAATTGCATAATTAAGTTCCATGTATGCTATAGAAGAGATCCTTTATTTTATTTTACTAAAATAATAAAATAAAATAATTTAAATTCTGATATTTAGTGTGTATTATTTAATTTTTATTTTAAGTATAATTTTGTTATTAAGATTTATAATGATTTTATTTATTTATTTATAATTATAACTTATGTTTCTGAAAATTATTCTGATATTAAACTATATATATATATATATATTTAAATAATATATATATATATATATATATATTTTAAATTTATTCCATTATAACTTAATTTATTTATTTTATTTATCTTTGTAAGGAAGTGTGCAGGTTAAATATATGATAAAAGAAAATTTAAGTATAAACCACTGAATGAAATAAAAATGTTATGAATTAAAAATTAGTATCAGAGAAATTGATTATAAATTATAATTTTAATTAAGAATTGTACATTATTTTTATGAATAAAATGTAAGTTCTAGAAGGAAGGACATGCACGGTCATGTTGAAGAGTCAGCATAATTATAATGCTTTAAAAGAGAGGGTAGAAGTCTTCACGCCATTGACTTCGTTTTAAATGTATGTTTGTTTCTCATTTCCTGGTAGTTGTGGTGTGTATAGTATATGATTTAGTCCATTCTAGTGAGAAGTGTCAACAACAAAAAAAAATAATCATCAATCGTAAGTAAATAATTCAATATCAATTTAGAGATAAAAAGTTAAATATAATTTTATCAACTAAAAATAATTTGTTTGTAGTTTGTAAATTAAATTTATAATTAGTTTTTAATATTAACTATCAATATTTTAATCATTTATTATTATTAACTTTAAATTAGTCTTTAAATTTAAATTAAAAACTAATTTAAATACTAATTCTTTTATAATCATAAGCACAAAAACGTTATTTTTCATTAAATGTGTTAAAAAATACAAGTTAAATGAAGATTTATGATCAATGTAAGTTATACAATGCATGCTGGAGATAAGGTACAACCTGAAATTTGTGTAAAAAAACTTTATTGTGCTATTATTAGTTAGATAGATGAAGGATGGAGAATTACTTATGTTATAAAAGATAAGTATAGGAGTGATATTATTTTCTAGATATGTAAAATGTATTCTTTATAAATTATTGTTTTTCTAATTATTGAACATTAGGAAAATTTCTAAACTTTGAGCCTAAATTTATATTAAATAGAAATTTAAAAATTTTAATCATATATAAAAAAATTACAAGTTTATTATTTTAAATTTCATAGTAACAGAATATAGTTTAACTGGTGTTTTAATAATTATATGGTTGAATCTTAATTTATCTTTAAAATTTAAAAATAAATTATTAAAAAGTGTACTAGTCAATTTCATTAAACTATTCCAAAAAAAAGATTTAGAAGGTAAAATATATTTTAACACCCTTGTTTTTTTTTAAAGAAATTATTAACTATTGTTTTTATTAATATAATAATAAAATCCGTAAATTTTTATATTTATTTTTAATTATTATTATTATATTAATAAAGAGAACTGTAAAAGAGTATCTTTTTTTTCTTCTAAAAGGAATGTCAATGTATTTCTATTCAAATTTGAAACCTCTAACTTTTCAATGGTCTATCTATTTAACTCTCAAACCAAAACCCTTTGCACTATAAAGTTAAAGAAGTAAATCAATATGCACAATTGTTTGCGAATTTTAATTAATAATTAGGTTTCATCAATTATTTATGATAAAAGGAGAAGAGATCCAAAAGTTTAAGAATTAAAACAATTAAAGTGAGTTGAAGTAATCGCGATTTCATCCTTCACTGTTGAAATAAAGTTCACTTTATATAACTTAAAAAATAATAAAATATTAATAGTGGTAATTTATAAAATTATTATATGTGTTGAAACATCAATTCAATAAAACAAAATTGTTTGTTTTTTATATATTTTTTTAAAATCACTATATTTAAGATATTATCCGTTTTAAAATGTAAAATTCTTTTCATGATTTTATCATTAAAGAAAATCTTAAATAGTTGAAAGATGAAGTTGTATTGAATATAATTTGTTATTTATTTTTACTTGAAGTACTATGAGACAATTGTGTGGGTTGGAATAAGTATTCAGTGAAAACTAAATAAGTTTTAATTCTTAAATAGGGTTGTTAATGTTTCGACCTTAAATTCTTCATATAAGGTCAATCACGTATATGAGGAATTCTCTATTTTGAAAGTTAAAATTTTTATTACAATTTTATCATTGAAAAATATATGAGATTGCACGATGAAAGTATATTTAATTTAAATTGTTTTTTATCTCAACTCCTAAACAAAATAATAAGATCATTGAATGTATCAAAATAATAAAGTTAAATAAATGTTTAATTTATAATAAGATTCGAACGATGAAAGTTAAAAATATAAGTCATAATGATGAGGAGTGTTTGTATTGTTAGAAATGTTGATACTGCTAAAATATGTTTTGGTAAGATTTGGAATTGTAGGCTAAAGAAAAATATGAACTACTTAAGTATGTTTGCTGTGGAAAAATAACTCAAAAACAGAAATAAGGTTAAAAGCTTAAGTGAGTGTAGCTCCTTTTCCATTTAAGTGACATATTTTTTTCTCATTTAATTGACAGGGTATTTGATCCAGCAAAAATAAAACAGAAAATCAACCATGCTCTTATACATTTAAAGTTTTAATTAAGGATAGAATAGCTGATAATGATTTATATGTTGTAAATGTTTATTCTCTTGAGAATACGATTGCAATATATGAGTTACAACTGAAGATAGAAAATGACAGAGTCGCTTATATTTGAAGGAGGAAGTTCTTAACCGATGAATTAGGGTAGATTCCCATACTTAGCCTTATACTCATTCCAAAGCTGATCGACTGACTTCCCCAATATATCAACAAAGAATTGATCACTATAAGCAGTTCTCATCTTCTGGTTCAGTTCTGCCACAAACCCACTTTTCAGGCTCTCACAATAGTCAAGAAAACGAGCAGTAACATCGTAACCCTGGTCCCATTTTTGTCCCTCCCCTGCTTTTCTCCAGTGGCTAGGTGCATAGTTTGCCTTCAGCCTTACATAGTCTGCAATTCCTTCAATCAATCCACCGTTACCCTCACCATTCCCATTCCACTGCCAAACATGAACCATTTCATGGTATAACACCCCTGTGATTTCTATTCTCACATCCCCACTATACCCATTAACGTACCTTCCACTCACATGAATCTCATTGTTGGAAGTATACGCAACCCCGTCCGTGTCATCCACGAATAAGCTCACCTTCTCCACGTTTTTTCTATCAGCAGGAGCGTTTTGCTGGAAGATCCCCCATATGAATTGGGTGGCTGAGTCCAGTGTTTGCTTCGCGTATTCTTCTCCTATTTCGTCACGGAAACGCACGCCACCGGGGGTTGAGAGGGCATTGTTGCTGAAACTGTATTCCACTATTGCTTCTGTTGTTCCTTGCATTGCAGCCAGGAACACTAAAAAGCAAAGGACATGCATCGTCATGGTTGTTTTGTTTTTAGAGAGAATCAATGTGTGGGCTGGTTGTTGCAAAAACATAGTGTTCGATGATTTATATAATGAAAAGCGTAGGAAAAATTGGTCACTCCACGCCATTGACCGTTGTTTTTAATGTTTGTTTGTTTCGGTGACAGCATTTTGAATGTTCCAGATAATAGGGGTTTTTATCATTTGACGTAAGGAGGCGACATATTCTACACGTCACTTTTCCTTTTTCTACAATGTAAATAGTCTTTCCATAATAAATGTCGGAGGAGGAAGTTTCGTATGCATTCATATGTCTATTTATCATACAAGAAATAGAAAAATGAAATTTTCACACAATTTTTTTTTCTTTACAGCATTTTAATAAGATATACGTATTAAGTTATTATTTATTTATTATTATACTATTTTATTTTTAAATTCAATAAAAAAATGACACTTATTTCGTATTAAAATATTATAAAAAGCATCTGTATAAACATATTATTACTCAATAGGTAAATATACAGTTTTGATTAATCACTTGTTTTTTACACTTTGGTAGACCTCTTTATTTTAATCGTTATATTTTAAACTACCAGTACAAAAATATTAAAACTAATACGTAATATAAAACGCGAGTATGAAAATTAAATTATTATTTAAACCTAACAAAAATCAGGGTTGTGTTTGCTCTGAAAAAAAAAGTTATTTTATTTTTTATGTTTAAATATAAAAATACTATATTCTTTTGTTTTCCAAAATTTACATGTTACAAGAAAAAAATTCTCGAGTTGCAAAATTTATGATAAAAGTGATGATAATTTTTTTTAAAACTTTATATATAAGTTATAGCTTTAATTGAGTTTGAAGTCCTTTTAAGTTTTAGTATTTTCAATTAAATCTTATTTACTTTTTTTATCAATGAGTACTCAAATTTGTTTTTTAATTGGAATGACGTAGTTTTTTTTTTTCGGTAATTCTGTTTACTTTACTCTAATAATATTAATAAAAATTAAGTTTTGTAGTTAATTATATTGTTTCAATTGAACAAATATAGGATAGCGGCACGTTGGTCATTTAAAAGGAAGTTAAATTATCAAAGGATTGGTATTTAAATTGATTTTTAGTTTTAGAGAGTAATTTTGACACTAATTATTTTGGTAATTAAAGGTATAGCTGTCAAAACGGGTATCCCAGTTCATTTATTAGCTACTTGAAAAATTCGAACCCAGCCCAACCCACCACGGGTTGGTGGGTTAAACGGGTTGGTTCACTGACTCATTTAATTATAAGTTATTTTTAAAATAAAAAAATTACAATTTTTTTAATTCAAATCCAAATAAATGTCACACTAAAATGATGTTAAACTCTAAAGATTAAACTCCAAAGATAATTTAAAATAAATAAAAAAGTATCATATAATCCAAGAGTAATCCAAAAACATGTACAGAACAAATAAGTTTTTAATATTCATAATTTTTGTATCACTTGTCCATTTATTTATAATATTAGAGTCTTGAATAGATAAATCTATAATATTTTTTTCTCTTGAATCTTCTTCTTTATCACCCTTTACAATATAATAAAAAATGCTAATTAATAATATTGAAACACAAAATAATAAATAATTAAATTAAATTAGGTGGGTTGGTGAGCCAATCTGACTCACCACAGGTTCAATCCAATGAGACGGGTTGAAAACTAACCCCCATAAAAAAATTATATTTTTTTTCAAACCCAACTCGGTCAAACCCAACTCGGCTCAAACCCGTGGTAAACTGGGTTGGCTCACGGGTTACAATCTATTTTGAGAGCACTAATTAAAGCTATATTCTTTTGAGAAAATGAATTTGAAGATAAAATTTCTGTTGTTTCTTTTAAAGTATTTAAAGATAAAAGTGAGTAGATTTTGAAATGAAGTTTGTGAAAGTTTGTGAGTAATTTGATTAATAAAAAAAATTGATGGATAAAAAAATAAAATTATAAAATTGCTCTTCCGGTTAAAAGTAATATAAAATTATTTTTGAATTAATTTAAATTATTTTCTAAGAAAGATGGTCATGAATAGTCACACATTTATTCACCAAATTTATTGGATTTTTTAAGTGTCATGTTTTCTATTTCATTATGTTTTCTAAGTTTAAGATAATATTAATTATATTTAATCTTTTATCTAATTTTTATTTTTTTATATACCCATAGATAAATAAACAAATAAGTAAAATAAAGAAAACTTATTGCATTTCTTTTATTTTTCCAATATATAGGAACTTAAATTAAAACTTCAAAAGTAGCGATTTGGGTAATGATCAATAAATGTTTTAAATAAAATGAGTTGACATATAAAATGGTAAAAATTAGGAAATCAAACGGTGAAATTATGATTTGAAACATATACCATATATAATATAAATAATTAATCTTAAGACTAAATTTTTATTTATAATAAAAACTATTTTAGATACTTATAATTTTTAATTTATAAATTGGTATTTAAATTACTCAATAATTTTAAAAATTAAAATTAATTATTATTTAATGATTTTCTTGTAATATTTTTTTTCAATATTTAAAAACTACGCAGAAAATAATTTTGAAAACAAAAATTAAAGCATAATCAAATATTCTCCTTTCTTTTATTTTCTTTTTCAAACTTACGTTCTCTTCTTATTTTTTTTTTTCAAATTTAATTTTCTAGCAATTCGTAGTCAAAGAAAGCCTAAATACCTTCTGGATCGGAAACAAAACTCATTATTCAACTCTTAATCCAAAGTTTGTTTGACAAAATCAATAATCTAATTCTTAATTCATTTAAGTAAGGTAACTTAATATTTGGCTATTACTTCAACTTATTTTACACGATGTTAAATGAAAATTAAACATAATAAAAATGTTGAAACTAAATTTCAATGTAAGAATAATTTAATTTAAGAAATAAAAGATAATTCTTTTAAAAATTAATAATAATTATATAAACTCATTTGAATAAAATAATGCTTCAAAAAAAACATATAGAAGTTGTGAAAAAAAAAAACAAAAATAATAAAAAGTTTCACAATTTTTTTGATAATAATATCCAATTACTGATTTTTTTTATCTTAGATTATTTAGAACTATTTTCTATTAAGGGGAATGTATTTATTTGTCCGAAAACCTCTTACAAATAGACATTGTACAAGTAAGATTCGTTATCATATGCTAAAACCTATAAGACAAATAAAAATAAATAAAAGTACCATAGTAATGAAATAAACAAAAAAAAATACGTATCTTAATTTATCCATAAACAGTAAATTAGAATTATATTGTTTTTTTCTAAGTCTTAGAAATAATTACATATTTTATTTTTATGAAATTTTTTATTTCTCTTATAAAAAATTAAAATGTATGTATAATAAAGAGATGCATAAAGTATAGCAATTATTTAATCAATATCAAATTATCTAATTTAATTTTAGTCCGTACATTACAAAAGTAAAATTAATATGAAAATTATTGATATTATGGATTTGGGGTGTTTATAAATGTTGGTCAAATGTAATAACTTGAAGAAGAATTATTTGCTATAAGATGATTTTAGATGCCATTTGGAATCATAGGAATGCTATTTGGAGTTTAGGGGTGCAGTGTTTGTGTACCATTTGGCACAGTGACTCAGAAAAACATTCATTTTATTATAAAACATAAATAAATAAAAAATCTTATCATAAGGTTGATGCTGTGACAACATCTTATGATAAAATATATATAAGAAACATTTCACTCCATTCTATTGTAAGTTGACCATTCCAAGTTACACTGAGTTGAAGGCAGAGGTTGTTTCCATCACTCACTCGAGAATGGGGATTCAAGTCAGGTCAAGTTTTTTTTATGGAATAAATAAAAATAAATTATTTGAAATTTCAACTGATAGTAATAAGTTTTACTTTGTCAAATAAAAAATTAATATTTATGAAATAAACATATCTTAAACATTTCCAAACTCTAATGACACATTTATTAAACTAGGCCGGCATGCCTCAAAGTCACCCAGTATTAGGATTTATATATTTTGTTTAATACTAAATTTAGGCTCTGTTTGACTGTTTTTTTATTAAGTAACTATCATATCTCTCCACATTTTAATTTTTATTTGGAGTGTACTAACAATCTACCTTTGAAATTTAAGAAAAGATATCATTAGATCATTATTTCTCATCACATATACATGGTAAAAATTAAAATGCATAACTTATGTGAATTATTTTATAAAGTCGCCCAACTCTTTTAAAAGGTTAAATGTTATGTGAATCTAGTATATAATATTTTATTAATTAATATTATTAACCTCTCTTTACCTGTGGAGTGTGTATATGTATACTATTTTACAGTGTTTGCCCAATTCTTAAGGGAATTCTCTTTACCTGCACGTCATGCTTCTGCTTCCCCGGGTAAAGTTCATACTCCAAGGTCCATTCCTGTTACTCGGGCCACTCCTCCCAGCCCAAGCCCACTTCCACTTCAGTTTACGATGATGGTTATGGTGCTGACTATGGAGTCTACAACAACAAAAAAAGTACAAGCCCAAGCCCACTTCAAGTGATGTTTATAATAGGACACGATATTGACAGTGGTTTATTCGAGTGTCTAAATTGATGGTTCGACCTGTGGCGGATCGAAGGGTTATGCAGTATAACTTTCGATTTAATATGGTACTAGTAATTGGTTTCGATTAAAGGTCAACCTTAGTTGGTTTGAGTTAAAAATCGAGTCCAATCGGTTCAAGTTGAAAATGGACTCGGGTCGGTTCGAAATCAACTATCAATTTTTAAACCATAACGTGAAAGTTAGATTCATAATTACATTTTCAACACATTTTAAATATCAAATTCAAAACAACAATATTGGGAGTTTCCAATTTGATAGTAATGTGTAAATTAGATATTTGTCAATATTACTGGTTGTCTTTAATTGATTTTTAGTCACCATTTACACTCTCTCTAGAATATTTCTGCCAACATCTTCGAAAACATATAAAAACTAAATATAATAAGTACAATCTTATTTTAAGAAGAAGAAAAATCCAACGATTGTAGCTCAGCTTATTCTCCTTTTTTTCTGTTTACGTATTATTTTATAATTCCTTGGATTGAATCAACGTGGAACAAAAATTCAACAACACAAACAACATGCAAACGATATTCTCTATCATTTCTTTTTAATTGGGAGTCTCGTAAATGATTTTCTAATGGTTCGAAATATTTTAAATAAAACTATCCATTCGATGAAAAGTAAATACGTAATTAAAAGCAGAATCTTAGAGCTGATAGAATTTTATTGAAAAACACAGTCATATACTGATTTATTCTTTAAATAGAAGCTAGCCCTCTCAGGCAATATTGCCATACTTGGCCTTATAATCTCGCCATAGTTGATCCACGGGTTTTCCCAGTAACTGAACGAAGTATTGATCAGTGTAGCCAGTCCTCAACAACTTGTTCAATTGTGCCACAAAGCCACCCTTGAGACTATTACAATAGTCAAGAAAACGAGCAGTAACATCATAACCCTGGTCCCATTTCTGACCTTGGCCCGGTTTTACCCAGTGGCTCGGTGCATAGTTTGCCTTCAGCCTCACGTAGTCTGCTATGCCTTCGATTAACCCCCCAGGAGCACCACCATTTCCATTCCACTGCCAAATGTGGACCATTTCATGATACAGCACCCCCGTAATCTCTCTCTTCACATCCCCTTGGTAATTTCCAACATATCTTCCACTCAGATGGATCTCGTTGTTGCTGGCATACGCAACTCCATCCATGTCATCCACGTATAAAGTTACCTTCTGCACGTTTTTTCTGTCACCGGGGTTGTTCAGCTGAAGGACCCTCCATATGAATTGGGTGGCGGAGTCAAGCGTTTGCTTCGCGTAGTCTGCTCCTATTTTGTCACGGAAAGCTACTCCACCAGAAGTTGAGAGAGCCTTGTTGATGACCGTGTACTGAACTGCATGTGTTTGATGAAATGCGTGCAGGAATACTAAAAAACAAAGAACGTGTTTGATCATGGTTTCGCTTGGAGCGTGGTGAGTAAAGTTTATGGCTGATCACTGCACAGGGATTGAGTTTGGTGCTTGCTTTTTATAGAAACCAAAAACAAGATGTGCCTTATTCCATGCTACTTACATTTTGATTGAATGCATACGGAACCTAACTTTGAATGTGTCTTCATATCGTCAAGTCAACTTTTCTGATAAATGCTCAAGAGCCAAAAGAATGGGCCAAACTTGTTAGTCAACAGTAGGCATCGCTTCACACTAAAGTTTTAGTGCAATTCCAACAACTTTTTCTTTTCTTTTTAAATATTAGTTTGTAAGAAAATAAAATTGTAATTTTAATTCTTCTTTTTAGGTTATGATAAGTTTTTAATAAAATAAAATAGTATAATAATTATGGAGTGACACACAAAGCAATCTGTTTATAATTTGTAACCAGAGTAATGGTATTATAACACACTTTATATTTGTTTAACACAAAATATAAAATATAAACATAAAAATAAATTTTTGTATTATTTTGATATAAGTATTATTGCTAAATTTCAATTCCGGGTATATCAAACCTAACTTACTCTTTCAAGGATTTTATGCTAGAGATACTTTAAAATTAATTTTATAAATACTAAAAATATATTTTAATCTTAGCATTAATTAAAATAATTTGACTTAAATATCTTGGTTATTTAAAAAATATTTATGTTTTCTTTCATGTAAATTTTATAATGATTTTTTGTCCTTGTAAAATAAGAGATTTTTTTTTTAATCTATGTAAAACATTTGCTTTTAATTTTAATTTTTAAAAATTTGAAATCAATATTTTTAATATATATTTTAAAATAGATAAAAATAAATTTATGTTATGAATCAGAAAAATTCTTTTGAGGATTCAAATGTTAATATTATATCACAAGTACATGCCAGTAAATAAAGAATGTTACATATCTAGTTATATACTTTTCTCGAATTTCCATTTAAAAACTACATTAGGTGTATAATTAATTTAAGTTGAATCAGAATTCAATAGGAATCTAGGAAAAAACAAAGGTAACTTTTTTAGGCTTTCTTTTGTGTTTGTTATTAATGTTTGTGTTTGGCATTGCACCATGATACGGCAAGGTGCATGCTTTATCCAGAGACAGGGATAGAAAAAGATTCGTCAAGGCGGGCTATATAGGTAAGATTTGTGAGATATTAAATAAATATTTTTAATGGATATTTATGAGTAATGATACTTGTATTTTAATCATGATTTGGTGTGAGTAAATATTACTATTACGATATTTAATTCACATTTAGAAACTATTTTATTATTATTTTTTAAAAGAAGCAACTCATTAATTTTTTAAAATTGGAATTTCTTTTTAAGAAATTAATTTTCTAAATTTTAAATTTTATAATCAATTGATAAAGTTTTTCAGGATGATTCAGGAGTATTTAACATTAAAATGAAATTTGAAATTAATTATACGTGACACCAGTTTTTATCCAAAATGTTAGAATTATAAATTTATAAACTTTTAATTTTATCTGTCTTTCAACTTTTTCATCATTACACTTGGCTCACGTCTAGATTTTCTAACATCAATTTATTTAAGTTTCTTTTGTCATATCAAATTTATGTTTACTCATATTTTTTGTCATACAGTTTTATTTTAATTATACTTTAAAATTATTTTTATCATATTTTAAAAAATAATTTATAAATAAATTTATTTAAAATTAAAAAATAAAAATAATCTAAATATTTATGGATACTACAAATACAAAAAATATTTACAAATGAGTAATAGTGGAGATTTTGTTAGACAATATAAATGAAATCATTTTTTTACAAAAAAAATAATAATAAAATAAAATAATGAAAATAAAATACAAAGAAGATGTTAGTATATAAAATTTGAAGCCTAGATCTCCAAACCCAAAAGATAATCTAACAAAAATAAAATTATCGTACATCTTTTAGATTTTGAGAAAATATATAAAACTAAAAATCGTTTTCTCCTATTTTTGCCAGTGTGAAATAAAACAATAACATCCTTTACATTATTGAGGAAATATTGAGTGTGACACCCGGGCACTGACGAGGGTGGGGAGTGATCGCCGGTGCAAGAGGATGGTGTAAGGGGCACTGACAAGGAGCGGCTCCTGGCAGACTTCCAGTGGAAGGGGTACAGGGACGAATCAAACATACACCGGAATGAGAGGGATCTAGAGACTGTATAGGTATGGAACTATACAGTTGAAGGATAGCTTAAAGGGATTGATTTGACTACTCATATCACAAAAATGCATTTGCTTTTCGGTAGTCTGATTCATAAGAACTCCATGATTAAGCGTGTCTGGTGGTGATGTGTGGTGTTACGTTGAGTATATTCAAAGTTTAAGCATGGGTATATGAGAAAACCAAGTATTTTTCTTCACTCATATTTTTTAAGTTTTTCACATCAGAAAAAGTTTATATGATTTTTGTATCTTTATTTTAACCCGTTCATCTTATTATCGATCAGTTTACGCTTTGAAATTATGAACAGATATCATGTATACGGGTGTTCTATGTAACACTAAACTCGTGTTTGACTTTTATGATATGCACAAAAAAAAAAACATATTAGTAACAATTTAAGGATGAATAAATGAAATTAATGTTCAATTTAATCTAATAGATTTTGAGAATCATACAAATAATATATTAAAAAAATGTTGAATATGAATCCATAGAGGAATCCGAATCATTCCTCCACTACTTGTGCATGAGCTACAAGGAACAATAAATAATTGACGGAGAAAAAGGAGAGATATCAGACTATGTGGGTTGAAAATCGGCACTTCAATTTCTTTTTACTTCGTTGGGTCATTCGTCAAAGAATTAGAACTAATAGCATTTAGGTTTCATTGCTTTCTACCATTTCACTTCATTTTTTGATTGCCCATTTCTTATGCATAATAATAGTTCTTTGCACTTACATATAAAATAATGGTAATAATAATTGTTTGCACTCATAATTTAATGGGAGTACCACTTCATCCACAACTTGCAATTTACTTTCACACTCCAAATTAGTCAGTTTAATGGATTGAGACATTGAGCCTAATCTTATTGCTTAATTAGTATTCATATTTTTTTATCTTTTAAAGTAAATTAACCCAGATTTTTAATTTTTTCAGACGAGTAAAATAATATTTTTCTTTGATTTTAGTTAAACCAAATAAAGAAAACGATAGTTGCGGTTATAAAAAATGAATTATTACTAATGGGCACTGGTCCTGTACTCGGGAAAATGTTCATGTTTACTACATAGAATTAAATTATTTTTAAATAATGATACACATGCGAAACAAAAAAAATCTCAAACTTTCTTTTTTATAATATTTACTAATATTCTTACATCTACATCATACATATAAATTCTTCCCGTACCACCACTCCTTCTCCTTTCACCTCCTCAATTTATTTTATTTTCAAAATTATTCTTCTCTTTTAATTTTTTTATTTTTATCTTTTGGGGTTTTAACATATTTCAAAACCTTAATTTTACCACTTACTTCTTCACTCCCGCAGCAGCATCCCACCACTACATTTTTCACAGATTCTCTCTTCACTTGCCATTTCCATTTGAGCTTCTCTTCTTTCTTCTCTTTCTTTTTCTTTCAACCTTCTTTTTCTCACTTTCCTTTCCCTTTTCTGTTTGCTTCCTTCCATTGTTCACGTTGATTCCTGGTGCGGAGGAGCGTAGATCTAGCGAGATCTGGTTTTTCATCTCCATCCCAAGTTAGTTTAAATCTGTAAATCTGTTTGGTTTTAACATGTGCTGTTATTGTTTATTCATTGTCACCGCGGAGGCCAAAACGGATGTCGATATCCGTTTTACCTTCAACGGATGTTGTCACATCCATTTAAGGTTAAAATGTTTATTTTAGGGTTTATCACGCATCTGGGAGGGGAGGAACACCGCACCTTCACCTTCAAGCACGACCACCACCAACACCGAACTTTCGCAACGCTGGATTCTCACACCACCAAATGAAAGTCCGCCAGACTCTCATAGCAGACGATTAAACAATGAAAGAGAGGAAGAAGTGAACGTTAAAGAGTGGGTAGAAGGTAACAAATATTAACCTTAAAAATATGATAAATAATATTATTATTTTTAATTAAATTAAATATTTATTAAACTTTAAATAAAAAACAAAACCGTTAGCATATTTAAAATTTTTGTTTCTATTTAAAATTTAATAATTGTTTAATTTATTTTAATATTTTAATATATTTTAACATATCAAATCAAATTTTATATTATTATCATTTCATTTTCTTATTTGTTATTTCTATTATTATTTTTTATTTTAATTATTTTATTTTTATTTTTTAATATAATTATTATTATAATATAAATCATATTTTAATAATTATTAAAATATAAAATTATATTAAATAATATTTAAATTTTAAATTAAATTAAATTATTATTAAGGTGATGCACTTTAGTAAGAAAGAGAAGAAAATAAAAATATTTATTAAAGTGTCTTTAATAAGAAAGATGACAAAAAAAATTTTTTTATTAAAGTTAAAAAATAGATTTTTTGAAAAAGTTGGAGGTGCATGTTGAAATGTTAGAAGGTTAAAAGTGAAATTTTTGGTGATGCACGATGAGATGTTGGAGGTGTAAGATTAAACACTCATTAAGAATTGGATAAGAGGGTCCCTCCACAACAAATTCTTTAGTGGGCTCAATCAGCTACCAGGAGGCCCATTAATAGAAGAGTGACTCTTGTTTTTGTGCATTAGAAAAATAAAAAGGGCAGAATAGAAGACAAAACAAAAACTACAGTTCGATTATAAAGACGGTTGAATGATAAGGTAGGATAGCATTCTACTGGCGAGTTCACACGATTTAACTCATTATTTATGCTTAAGTTTCGATTATATTTGGATGAGTGTATTTTTACATTTAGCTTTTTGTCATTGAAATATTAAACACATTTAAACATTTTAGTTTTTTTATTTTAAAAATCAATTCAACTCAATTTGAGTCACCCACCCAGATTCAATTTGAGCCACGGGAGGTCAAATCATTTAGACTTTC